ATCGTGCACATCCAGGCCGGGCAGTGCGGCAACCAGATCGGCGCCAAGGTACGGGCCGCCTCTCGGCTGCCCACCGAGGGTCGTGCGACCGGCACCGGGGTGCGGTGCGTAGCTCCGCCGGGGTTATCCGCGACCGCAGCGGGGCTGCCCGGGCTCGAGTCCGCGGTCGTATGCAGCCGGTTGGCAGCCACGCGTACGGCTCTGAGGGAGAGGGGCGCGGCGTCACGGCCAGCCCCGGGTGCGTGCTGGGGCTGCTGTCGTCTTGCGGTGACGCTGCCGTGTCGGTAGAACAGCATGGCTGTTCTAGGCGGCCTTAAGCCATGGCTAGACAATAGAAGAGTCTCAAATCCGTGGGTATGCGAGTGCTGTCAGCCCGTGGATGCGTGCTAAAAATGAATTAGCTCGAATTCGAGCGCTGCAGCTGCCCGTCTATCCTCCTCAGCGCTGCTTCTGTTAATTCAGCTGCCGCAGCCAAAGGAAACTCTTCGGCACTGACTCATGGAGGTGCAGCTTCCTCCCAGGCAGCCGCTCAACCATGCTAGGGAGTGGTCGGGGACGCTGTGCGCACAGACTGCTAGCGCGTGTGATTGGCACCGGCCAGCTGTAGTGAACAGCTGCCTTTCACGAACATTTCTTCCAGTTCTGGGAGGTCATCAGCGATGAGCATGGGATTGACCCCACTGGCAGCTACCATGGGGACAGCGACCTGCAGCTGGAGAGGATCAACGTGTACTACAATGAAGCTGCTGGTGAGTTCGTCTGCATCCTCTGACATCCTTAAATTAACAAAGCAGAAATGCCAGGTCAAAGCTTGAAAAATACCTGAGTAAGAGCTGCCATCTACAGAGCTTTGTTCTCAGAATGGCTCTGATAGCACTGGTCTAGACAGTGCAACTCTCCAATGAAGTATAGAGAACCTCTGGTGAGCACAGCAGTGCTGCTGTGGCTGCAGGGCCGTAACGCTGCGTTGGTTCCTCCCACAGGTAACAAGTACGTCCCCCGTGCCATCCTGGTTGACCTGGAGCCCGGCACGATGGACTCGGTGCGCTCCGGCCCCTTTGGACAGATCTTCCGACCTGACAACTTTGTCTTTGGTGAGTGAGCGTGCCGTGGAGGCGTCCCCCAGCGTGAGCGAGGTGCGTGCAGGAGGCTCGGAGCAGGCGTGTGAGCGAGCCGGGGTGCTGGATCCCAGCAGCGCTCTGGGATGGGAACGAGAGGGGTGCGAGCTCTGTGGGGGGGCGGCGGTGGATCTGCACTCCTTCCGGGGGCACTGACGTGGCTCGCTGCTGCCGGTCTGCCTGTAGGTCAGAGCGGGGCCGGCAACAACTGGGCCAAGGGGCACTACACCGAAGGTGCTGAGCTGGTGGACTCCGTGCTGGACGTGGTGAGGAAGGAGTCGGAAAGCTGCGACTGCCTGCAGGGCTTCCAGTTGACCCACTCGCTGGGCGGCGGCACCGGCTCGGGGATGGGCACCCTGCTCATCAGCAAGATCCGGGAGGAGTACCCCGACCGCATCATGAACACGTTCAGCGTCATGCCCTCTCCCAAGGTGTCGGACACGGTGGTGGAGCCCTACAATGCCACCCTTTCTGTGCACCAGCTGGTGGAGAACACGGATGAGACCTACTGCATCGACAACGAGGCCCTGTACGACATCTGCTTCCGCACCCTGAAGCTCACCACTCCCACGTACGGGGACCTCAACCACCTGGTGTCGGCCACCATGAGCGGCGTGACCACCTGCCTTCGCTTCCCCGGCCAGCTGAACGCCGACCTGCGCAAGCTGGCGGTCAACATGGTGCCTTTCCCCCGGCTGCACTTCTTCATGCCGGGCTTCGCCCCGCTGACGAGCCGCGGCAGCCAGCAGTACCGAGCCCTGACGGTGCCCGAGCTGACGCAGCAGATGTTCGACTCCAAGAACATGATGGCCGCCTGCGACCCCCGCCATGGCCGCTACCTGACGGTGGCTGCCATCTTCCGAGGCCGCATGTCCATGAAGGAGGTGGACGAGCAGATGCTCAACGTGCAGAACAAGAACAGCAGCTACTTTGTGGAGTGGATCCCCAACAACGTGAAGACGGCCGTCTGCGACATCCCCCCGCGTGGGCTCAAGATGTCCGCCACCTTCATAGGGAACAGCACGGCCATCCAGGAGCTCTTCAAGAGGATCTCGGAGCAGTTCACGGCCATGTTCCGGCGCAAGGCCTTCCTGCACTGGTACACGGGCGAGGGCATGGATGAGATGGAGTTCACGGAGGCGGAGAGCAACATGAATGACCTGGTCTCGGAGTACCAGCAATACCAGGATGCCACTGCTGATGAGCAGGGTGAATTTGAAGAGGAAGGAGAGGAGGA